CTCCTACGCATTTGACCTGACCTGACCTGACCTGGTCATTCTTAGTCACCATACGAGGAGAGACTTGTCAGTGTCAACAGCTGGACTTGTTGATGCCAGTCAAACGGCAATCAGTATAGGTGCGATATCAGGGCACGGAGTATGATATCACAGCACGGGGTATGATTTCAAGGCACTGTGTTGGATATCAGGGCATGAGGGTATAATATCCGGGTACATTGAGTTTGATATCAGGGGACTGTGTCTGATATCAGGGAAGGGGGTATGATATCATGGCACGGGGTATGATATCATAGCACAGTGTATGATATCAGGGCACGGAGTATGATATCAGGGCACGGGGTATGATATCAGGGCACTACTTAATATCAGAGCGTTGTCATATGAATGAAATTCCTAGCTGGTGTTGCCATATAACTAATTACGTGTTGCCATTCAGCCACCCACATTGTTCAAGATAACACAATGGCCCGTGTACATGGGATGATGGTGGCGTGTACAATTACTCTTTTCCTCCTACGGCCTTTTCCGGTGTCCTTAATAGGGGTGAATGGGGGCATATAATAGGGGGTAGAGGAAGAAAAATGCTAGAAATTACCTTCATATAATGATATGTCAGATTAAGGACATACCAGAGAAGCTATGCGAGTCAGTGGCTTTACAAGAATGTCAAATATCAGGGCTTAGTACGCTCATAAACCCACTGTACCTTCTTATATATTATATATATAAATAAATATAAATAAAACACAAAGAAGGAACAACAGTGACAAGCTCAACAAGCCACAATGTAACACAAACAACAGTGACAAGCTCAACAAGCAACAATGTAACACAAACAAGGAACAACAGTGACAAGCTCAACAAGCCACAATGTAACACAAACAACAGTGACAAGCTCAACAAGCCACAATGTAACACAAACAACAGTGACAAGCTCAACAAGCCACAATGTAACACAAACAACAGTGACAAGCTCAACAAGCCACAATGTAACACAAACAACAGTGACAAGCTCAACAAGCCACAATGTAACACAAACAACAGTGACAAGCTCAACAAGCCACAATGTAACACAAACAACAGTGACAAGCTCAACAAGCCACAATGTAAAACAAACAACAGTGACAAGCTCAACAAGCCACAATGTAACACAAACAACAGTGACAAGCTCAACAAGCCACAATGTAACACAAACAACAGTGACAAGCTCAACAAGCCACAATGTAACACAAACAAGGAACAACAGTGACAAGCTCAACAAGCCACAATGTAACACAAACAAGGAACAACAGTGACAAGCTCAACAAGCCACAATGTAACACAAACAACAGTGACAAGCTCAACAAGCCACAATGTAACACAAACAAGGAACAACAGTGACAAGCTCAACAAGCCACAATGTAACACAAACAACAGTGACAAGCTCAACAAGCCACAATGTAACACAAACAAGGAACAACAGTGACAAGCTCAACAAGCCACAATGTAACACAAACAACAGTGACAAGCTCAACAAGCCACAATGTAACACAAACAAGGAACAACAGTGACAAGCTCAACAAGCCACAATGTAACACAAACAAGGAACAACAGTGACAAGCTCAACAAGCCACAATGTAACACAAACAAGGAACAACAGTGACAAGCTCAACAAGCCACAATGTAACACAAACAACAGTGACAAGCTCAACAAGCCACAATGTAACACAAACAACAGTGACAAGCTCAACAAGCCACAATGTAACACAAACAAGGAACAACAGTGTCAAGCTCAACAAGCCACAATGTAACACAAACAAGGAACAACAGTGACAAGCTCAACAAGCCACAATGTAACACAAACAAGGAACAACAGTGACAAGCTCAACAAGCCACAATGTAACACAAACAAGGAACAACAGTGACAAGCTCAACAAGCCACAATGTAACACAAACAAGGAACAACAGTGACAAGCTCAACAAGCCACAATGTAACACAAACAGCAGTGACAAGCTCAACAAGCCACAATGTAACACAAACAAGGAACAACAGTGACAAGCTCAACAAGCCACAATGTAACACAAACAAGGAACAACAGTGACAAGCTCAACAAGCCACAATGTAACACAAACAAGGAACAACAGTGTCAAGCTCAACAAGCCACAATGTAACACAAACAAGGAACAACAGTGACAAGCTCAACAAGCCACAATGTAACACAAGCAAGGAACAACAGTGACAAGCTCAACAAGCCACAATGTAACACAAACAAGGAACAACAGTGACAAGCTCAACAAGCCACAATGTAACACAAACAACAGTGACAAGCTCAACAAGCCACAATGTAACACAAACAACAGTGACAAGCTCAACAAGCCACAATGTAACACAAACAACAGTGACAAGCTCAACAAGCCACAATGTAACACAAACAACAGTGACAAGCAACAGTGACAAGCTCAACAAGCCACAATGTAACACAAACAAGGAACAGTGACAAGCTCAACAAGCCACAATGTAACACAAACAAGGAACAACAGTGACAAGCTCAACAAGCCACAATGTAACACAAACAAGGAACAACAGTGACAAGCTCAACAAGCCACAATGTAACACAAACAAGGAACAACAGTGACAAGCTCAACAAGCCACAATGTAACACAAACAAGGAACAACAGTGACAAGCTCAACAAGCCACAATGTAACACAAACAAGGAACAACAGTGACAAGCTCAACAAGCCACAATGTAACACAAACAAGGAACAACAGTGACAAGCTCAACAAGCCACAATGTAACACAAACAAGGAACAACAGTGACAAGCTCAACAAGCCACAATGTAACACAAACAAGGAACAACAGTGACAAGGAACAACAGTGACAAGCTCAACAAGCCACAATGTAACACAAACAAGGAACAACAGTGACAAGCTCAACAAGCCACAATGTAACACAAACAAGGAACAACAGTGACAAGCTCAACAAGCCACAATGTAACACAAACAAGGAACAACAGTGACAAGCTCAACAAGCCACAATGTAACACAAACAAGGAACAACAGTGACAAGCTCAACAAGCCACAATGTAACACAAACAAGGAACAACAGTGACAAGCTCAACAAGCCACAATGTAACACAAACAAGGAACAACAGTGACAAGCTCAACAAGCCACAATGTAACACAAACAAGGAACAACAGTGACAAGCTCAACAAGCCACAATGTAACACAAACAAGGAACAACAGTGACAAGCTCAACAAGCCACAATGTAACACAAACAAGGAACAACAGTGACAAGCTCAACAAGCCACAATGTAACACAAACAAGGAACAACAGTGACAAGCTCAACAAGCCACAATGTAACACAAACAAGGAACAACAGTGACAAGCTCAACAAGCCACAATGTAACACAAACAAGGAACAACAGTGACAAGCTCAACAAGCCACAATGTAACACAAACAAGGAACAACAGTGACAAGCTCAACAAGCCACAATGTAACACAAACAAGGAACAACAGTGACAAGCTCAACAAGCCACAATGTAACACAAACAAGGAACAACAGTGACAAGCTCAACAAGCCACAATGTAACACAAACAAGGAACAACAGTGACAAGCTCAACAAGCCACAATGTAACACAAACAAGGAACAACAGTGACAAGCTCAACAAGCCACAATGTAACACAAACAAGGAACAACAGTGACAAGCTCAACAAGCCACAATGTAACACAAACAAGGAACAACAGTGACAAGCTCAACAAGCCACAATGTAACACAAACAAGGAACAACAGTGACAAGCTCAACAAGCCACAATGTAACACAAACAAGGAACAACAGTGACAAGCTCAACAAGCCACAATGTAACACAAACAAGGAACAACAGTGACAAGCTCAACAAGCCACAATGTAACACAAACAAGGAACAACAGTGACAAGCTCAACAAGCCACAATGTAACACAAACAAGGAACAACAGTGACAAGCTCAACAAGCCACAATGTAACACAAACAAGGAACAACAGTGACAAGCTCAACAAGCCACAATGTAACACAAACAAGGAACAACAGTGACAAGCTCAACAAGCCACAATGTAACACAAACAAGGAACAACAGTGACAAGCTCAACAAGCCACAATGTAACACAAACAAGGAACAACAGTGACAAGCTCAACAAGCCACAATGTAACACAAACAAGGAACAACAGTGACAAGCTCAACAAGCCACAATGTAACACAAACAAGGAACAACAGTGACAAGCTCAACAAGCCACAATGTAACACAAACAAGGAACAACAGTGACAAGCTCAACAAGCCACAATGTAACACAAACAAGGAACAACAGTGACAAGCTCAACAAGCCACAATGTAACACAAACAAGGAACAACAGTGACAAGCTCAACAAGCCACAATGTAACACAAACAAGGAACAACAGTGACAAGCTCAACAAGCCACAATGTAACACAAACAAGGAACAACAGTGACAAGCTCAACAAGCCACAATGTAACACAAACAAGGAACAACAGTGACAAGCTCAACAAGCCACAATGTAACACAAACAAGGAACAACAGTGACAAGCTCAACAAGCCACAATGTAACACAAACAAGGAACAACAGTGACAAGCTCAACAAGCCACAATGTAACACAAACAAGGAACAACAGTGACAAGCTCAACAAGCCACAATGTAACACAAACAAGGAACAACAGTGACAAGCTCAACAAGCCACAATGTAACACAAACAAGGAACAACAGTGACAAGCTCAACAAGCCACAATGTAACACAAACAAGGAACAACAGTGTCAAGCTCAACAAGCCACAATGTAACACAAACAAGGAACAACAGTGACAAGCTCAACAAGCCACAATGTAACACAAACAAGGAACAACAGTGTCAAGCTCAACAAGCCACAATGTAACACAAACAAGGAACAACAGTGACAAGCTCAACAAGCCACAATGTAACACAAACAAGGAACAACAGTGACAAGCTCAACAAGCCACAAT